TTTGTGTGCAGATAGAGAGAGAGAGAGAGAGAGAGAGAGAGAGAGAGAGAGAGAGAGAGAGAAAGAGAGAACGTGCAATGTCGACGAAAACAGCACCGAGCACTCTTTTGTTCTCTCCAACTTTTCCGTACAGCTCACACATGTGACGTGGTCGGGTTCTGGTCGAGCCATTGAAATCGGTGCAGAAAGAAGAAAAAAAAAAAGCAACAACCGTCGGTCGCCACCATAAGTTCAAGATGCGAAGGCAGTGGCTGCAAGTGTGTGTGTGTGTGTGTGTGTCATATCTAAGCCTCGGCCACCAATAAATTTTGCCGGATTTTTCGTGCATTTTCTACATCAGCTGGAAACATGTGTCTTATGTGCCTGGCTATAAGTATGGATCAAAAAATGTTAAGTGGCTTTGAAACTCACTCAGTCTCACTTTCTGAAGCCTGTCTCGCAAAAATGGGAATATTGTTTGTTCGTGCAGAAAAAAGCATTTGATGAATGTAATACCATTTACGCGTTCACTGCTACTGCTCTCTGTGCTGGTGTTGTTGTTGTTGTTGTTGTTGTTGTTGTTGTTGCTAACTTTTTTTTGTTCATTCGTTTGTTCGTTCGTTCGTTCTGGGTGCTGCATATATACATTGTTTTGTTTGGCTCCTTGGCTCTCTTTCGAAATTGAAGCATTACGGTTTTCCATATTTGAAATTGCTGTTGCTGTGCACGCACATAAATAAATTAAAATGCGTGTGTCTGTGATATATACCGACCGACCGATGTAATTTTATGTCAATATACAATCGAAAATCATTTACGTACACGACAACTAAAATATAATAGACTAAATTCGATCGTCGTATGCATGCACGCCAATAATTTTCAGCATTCGACGACGGTTTTTTTTTCTTCTCTCTGTGTCGTTGCTTTTATTTTCTCTCTTCCTTTCGAGCGATGGATTTGTTGTGTGTGTGTGTGTGTGTGTGTGTGTCGGTTGTTTTTTTCGGTTTGATTTTGTTTGGTGTGTTCTTCTGCTTATCGTGTTTCGTCGTTTTTGGTTTTTGTAGCGCGCTGTTTCATGTGTCTTTTGTGCAGAGTTTTGAGCGCACAAAATTTATCATCAAGCACAAGTTGGCTCCTCGAGAGTGGAAATGTCCGGCTTGACTTGACTCGCGCATAAAGACATCACCGGCCAGAGACATATTCTCTTTTCTTCGGCTATTTTTAAATAATTGAACGATCGATATGTAAATATGAGTCAACGGCACCGAGAATTAGTTAGTTCTTTGATATCAATTAATACGTAACTTGTGTGTACATGAATTTAAATCACTTGTTGTTGATTACTCGCAAGCCTCCCCAATTACATTGGACATGTCTCGCAGCACACAATTACATTCCGCAGCCAACGATGTCATTCCATTTTTCGAAAATGAAAATGATTCTCTTCGTTCGATCAGAATTATTCGTCGGTTGGGTTTTTGTTTTTGAAATTCAATTGTTGTTGCTGGTGATATGAGTTAGAAATCAATCTTTTTTTTTTCCTTTCCCATTATCAACCCCTTTTCGTTTACTAGCTCCAGCCATATCTTAAACTAAGTAAACAAACCGACTCATTAAAATGAAACAAAAATAAACGACAATTTTCCAATTTCAAATTTTCCCCCCATACGAAAGAAGAGAAGAAAAAAAAAACCACGAGCTAGAGACAAATTCGATTTATTTTTTTTTTTCAAATGCAATCTTCATCGTTCAAGGCCCAGCATATTTGTTGAACGGCATATGAGTAATATTTTCTCTATTTAGACAAAAATGAGAGAAATATGGAACGAAAAAATATTGAAAAATGTGTTCATGTTCACATCAATTTTGAGGCAAAATTTTTATTTTAATTTCCTTTCTCTCTCCTCCACTCTCTGTCGGTCGATGTATACACATAATCGGTTTCTATGATTTGTGATGGAAAATTGTTATTTGCTTATCATTTTCATTCTTCGATTTGTATCCCTAATAAGCCAAATTGTGATTCAAACGACCAACAAAAAACGGCAGCAATACTGTTTCGGGGAGTAACTAAATGCCATGAAAAGAAATGAACGTGCTTCAAAAACAGAATCTCGTGTTACACAATTCACAACAAAAGTGTCAACAATTATCTCTTCTCTTAACGCATCGATGCGTGTTTGTCAATTAAAAATTGTACGAACATGACTTCTCATCATTTCTGTTTTACCTAGAGTTGACAAATCAGAGGGCGCAAGCTTTTTTTCGGTGGAAAATTGTACATAGATGTGCATGGGCTACAGGGAGATAGGGAAGAAGAAAAAGAAGAACGAGATTGGAGAAGAATATATTTGCTCATGATCACGAGAGTTTGCGTTGTGTGCAATGGCGAATATGGCACATTCGTAAAGTCGAGATATGGAAATGAAACCAATAACAACAGAGAGTTTGTGTGTGTGTGTGTGTGTGTGACAAGGCACAACAGGTCGAAATGTCCAAAAAAGAGAGGAAAATAAAAAAAAATCCAAATAAAATACGTCAAAGACATCGAGAATTGTCAACAAATCAGTGTGTGATTCGTGTGTACACATCAACCTAGAATGAGAGAAATACAAAAGCAAGACATCGAGAGAGAGAGAGAGAGAGAGAGAGAGAGAGAGAGACGGGTGGACGAAGTACTACAAAGACTTTGACCGCGATCCAGCGACCCAGCCAAATAATTATAATACTCAGGCACAGACAAATACAGAATCATTCATTGTGTTTGTTGCTGTTGTTTATTTTGCTCGAGCGTCGTTCGAACTTATGCATGTATTCTTTTGCGATGTTTACCGCATCAAAACTGGTATTCTCAATGTTGATCTTGTAGTCCAAAACTGCGCGAAATCGTCACGATCTCACTCTCTACAACCGATAAAAGGATCACCACAACTCTACGGTTTCTGTTTCGTTTTCATTATTTTTTTTTATTGTCATTTTCGCTTCGCTTATTTGGTATGCACTTTCTTTTTTTCGTCTACAAAAGAACATCAGCACATGTATATTGGTTGGAAGAATGCGCGTATAAAAGCGAAAACGAACAATATGTTATATATTGCACACGAAATACGTATTTCTTCTTCTTTTTCTTTTTTCTACAGGTTCTTTTGATGCAAAACATGTGTGTGCAATAAATAAGGTGAAAGAAAATAAAATCGTGCTCGCTTATTCAGTTCCTCGTGCAGAAAACACAGTCGTTCGACGTTTGTGTGTGTGTGTGTGTGTTTATGCTGATTTTTTTTTTTTTGATTCAACGGTGCGTTTTTCTCATTTTTCTCCTTTTGTTCAGGAGGTTTATGAAACTGTTGCAAAATATTTTTCGATTCAGTTCGTATTATGTGCCTTTTCCTATCGATCAAGTTCATTTAAACGAAATTTAAAGATGCACAACACACACAAATGTGTGCAAAATCCATCTGTCATTAATTTTGAGAATGATATCGAAGGTGCCGACAGGGACAAAATGACAGTCCTTTTCAGGCGAGTAGATGGGCTTGACCAAACTCATACACACCATTTCGAAAACCAACTTTTGTATAAACACACACACACACACACAATTACGTATGCGTTGCAAAACAAAAGCAAATTAAACAAAAGACAACAACAATGGACTTTTATGAAAAATAAGGTGCTTGACAAAACAAAACAAAACAAAACAAAACGACTGCAGACAAATAAAGAGACAAGTATTATATTTGAATGGATTATAATGAAAATGAAACTTAATATTTTCGAACTTAGAGCGGGATAAGAAAAGAAAATCCATTAAAGTGGACCGTAACCATTATTGTCGCATTTCATACTACTGATAAGAGATAAATGATGGCATTCGAGGCCGAAGTTGTAGACTACATTTGGAATTGAAACTTTGCCTTTGACTGATTTCTTTTTTCCTTGTTCCACTTTAAGATCGAGCATATAAAGTTTCATTTTCATAATAACCCATTCATTGATTGAAACATGCATACATGCATGCTATGTAAATATTGAAAAAAAGAGGATTGAGGGTGTAGTGATAATCAGAACTTGGAAAGCATACGAATTTCGGAAAAAACTTTTTCGGAGAATCATATTTTATGTGGTTCAATGTACTTTATTTATTCGTAGAGATGTTCATATATGTAACCAACGAAACAAATTAATTACATCTGATTCCATTGTCTAATGTGTGGATGCAGACTCTAAATGAAGCAGTATATTTTAACTCTTTCAATGACTTTGAATTCAAAAACTCAAAGAAAACTGAAATGCACACAGAATCAAGGAGAGACAGAAATATTCTTGGACTCTATTTTCCACATGGCTCTTATTCATGGTGCATCTCGAATGAATTTACAAAATAAAGAGCGTCCAAAACAAAAGGAAGTTCACTCATCAATTTGTCGTTGTGTTGTGATCGTGCGTCGTTTAGGTATTGTTGCGACTGTGGTTATGTGTGTGTGTGTGTGTGTGTGTGTGTGTGAGAGAGAGAGAGAGAGAGAGAGAGAGAGAGAGAGAGAGAGTGCCCAAGTCGGATTCTTGTTTTTTTTTTGCATTTTTGTCAAAGTATAGCAGGTTGTTATTGCGCTGAACACTTTTTCATGTTATTAAATTTGCTCCTTTCTCGTTCTTCGTGCGCGAATTTTTCTCGATTGTTATTGTTGTTGTAGTTTTTTTTTCTGTTGACGTCGATATTGTCGCCTGCACCCGCAACTCCAATGTGTACTCACGCTAACAGCCAGAGATGTTGCCTGCGATTTTTACATATACCACAATGCGTATGTTGCGCTCATGTCGTGGTGTGCGTTAGTGTCTCTCTTTTTATCCATTTGTGTACATGTGAATGTGCAAACATTTATATAGAGCTCACTGAAACGTGTGCATTTTTATGTGTGTGTTCACTTTTTTTTATTTTATATTCTCCTGTCGTTATTGATGTATCAAGTATGGAATTTTATCGTCAACGTTTTTTTTTCTCTCTCTTTTTTTCCCCATAGAATCAAAATCATGCATCACGGGACAACTGCGACGATGAGAATTTCAGCGAAAATATTTGAAATATTGTAAGCGCAGTTATAAGATACATATCGCATGAAAAAAAAAACGAAAGAAAGCTGATTGAAAGATCTTGTGTATAGCCAAAATATTGCTGACGCTGAATGAAAGAAAAGCACACCGACTCCTGTTGTTCTCAGGAAAGAAACCAGTGAAAAAGACTTTCTCTCTATCTCTCTGCCGATGTGCTAGATTCGAGGAGGATTTTGGAAATCAAATCACGAAGAAACGAAATGAATAGCAGAAAACAGACTCAGTGAATGAAAATGAACTAATATGAAGACGGTGAATAGCAAAAATGTTGCAAACTATCACAAAAAGTAAGCGCAAGCTTTTGCCAATCGATCGAAAAAATGTGAAATTATATCGATTCGCTGTGTATATCGGTGATTGACAACGCAAAAACTGCTTGTAACAAAGCAAAAACCAAATTGAATCAAACAAGAATTGAAAGAAAAAATGAAGAAAATAACCCACGAAAACTCCTAATTGAAACCTATTTGATATTTGTTAATCCTCTAACGCGCTACAATTTCGATCATTTTAAACAGAAATTAAACGAAAAGAGAAAGAAACACAATCCGAACAAAAAACGGTGGAAAACTAATCTGAAGGAATCGAAACTCGAATTGTGATTGTACACTGAATGCTTCGACAACGTTGATTGTCACTGTTGTTGAAGCAAACAATTTACCGATTTTTTTTTTCTCTAAATATACACATAACCAAATTTATCTCATGAACAGAAAAGCTAGTCGAGCAAACAATTTAAAACACAAACACGTAGAGAATACAGAGCCGAATTTTTCGTCTAATATCCATTAAAAACGATTCTAGTTCAAGTTGTCAAAACCAAAAAAAAAAAAACAAGAAATAAAACAAAAATCGACGGTGTGTGTGAGAAGCAGAGAGGAAAATTAGAGACACGTTCCCAATGGCTTCATTGAATGCAACCGATGCAAATATGCCAGTTGCATTAGAATCGTTTGACGAATGTGCGAACAATCCAAATGAAGAGAACCATCAAATGGCGACCGATGACAATGAGAAGGCTAGTGTTGAAAATGACGAAAATCTTGCCGCAAATGATACGCTTATCGATGCCCTCGATGACAATCGCAACGATCACAATGCCGGCCACAAAACGATCGAACACATTAAAGGGATGATCGCTAGCGATCAAGCGTCGAGTGAACGATCACAGCAACATCAGTCGGTAAGTAAAATCGCACTTGTATTTCGAAGCAAACTCACATTTTGCTATTTTGACCGCATCATTTCAATTTGAGATATATTTTTTTTCTTTCTTTCCGGCAGCCGGAACAGTATAATGAACCTATTCATGATAATACAAATGCAAATGCGCTACAAACCCATCCAACAACAGAAAATAGTCCAAATAATCCATTACGCGAACATGATGATAACATTATCGATCGTGTGACCACTGAAAATGATGTGAATGAACTCGATAAAATATTTTGTGATAAAAATGCGAATTCAGCAACGTCCGATAATGATGATTCGCAATCTATACCGGGTATCGAAAACAGCGACATCGCCGACGACATTACGAACGACAATCGAAAGGATTCGAGTTCGCTTCAAACGAGCAATACAGCAAATGCAAACGCTAGCCTAGATAGTAATGTTTTCAGCGATGTCGATCATCAGCAACATCAAGAGGTACGATTAGAGCCGGAACGATCTTTTTTGAATACTTCTATTTTTTTTGTCACTTTATTGTTTTACTCGTTCGATTGTTTCTACGATGAATATTTAGATTTTTTTCGAAGAAACAATATTTATTGAATCGTGTGAAATTGAAACACTAACGTACAAATTCAAATTTGTCTACAGCAGCAGCAGCAGAATCAGCATCAGCATCAGCATCAGCCACAAAGCACCATTCATCCAAATGCCGAACAGCAAATGCATCAATATGATGAACAGATGTATCAGTACAATCAACAAACGCAAATGTCACATGAGCAAAATATGCCGTCACACCAATTGCCTCAGCAACACCAAATGGATATGCAAATTCATAGAGATAACGATCCGCACTATCAATACAAATTGTATGCCAAATTTGACTGCATCCCATCATTTCGTGCATCTAATGATATATTTTTTTAAATTATTCCAATCAGATATTCACCAATGTATTTACCTCCGGTCAACGGTAATGCACAACAATCACATCAACAACATCAGCAACAACAACAACAGCAGCAGCAGCAACAGCAACAAATGCAGGTGAGTGAGATCAAAACGAGATAAAAGTGCGCGAAAATTAGCCTGACATGATTTGTTTTTTTTTTTTAATTGTTTTCAATAGAATGCGCCATTTAAGCCATATCAGCTGGTCGACTCACCAGCGACTCCTCCATCCACGAAAAATTCTAACATTTCGTCAGCTCCGGGTACACCCAGTTCTTTGGATGTAAGGATATCTTTTCTTGGACAAATGCTCTACATTTTTCTTTTCATTTTCTGCTATTTTTCTTTTCAACTTTGATTTAATTTGCATTTATTCTGAATAAAATTCTGAAGTCATTTTCAAATCCATCACAGCAACCGCGACAAGTTCCACAACAACAGCAAACAGACGATCCGTATAATTTTGTAGATGAAGATATGCACTCAATATCGCCGCACCAAAATCATCATCACATGCCGAATATGGGCAGTTTTGGATTGGCACTGCAGCAAATGCGATCGAATGTGGGCAATGCAATGGGCTATCCATCACTGAACAATCCCATGAACAATGGCAACGAATCAATGCAAAACATGAAAAATGTAATGATGCCATCGTTGCACAGTCCAATGGACACGCAAACATCAATGATTAGCGAAATTACGCCAAAGAAACGCGGCCGCAAAAAGAAAGTTCGCACTGAAGATGGGTACGTCGTAAAACCGGAATATTCGTCAAGACTAGGAAAAAAAAAAAACGAAATTAATCTTGATTTTCTTATCTTCTCTCACAGTCAAAATATACCGCTTGGAATTCCCAATGATCCCGGTATGGTACCGGCCAAACCAATACCTAAAGAGCGCAAAAAGCACGATCGATTCAATGGCATGTCCGAAGAAGAAGTTTCAAAACGAACGTTACCCGATCATTTGGCAAATAACCTAGATATTATCATAGTGAGTGTAATATTCCCATTTCGCGATTGCCAATATTATTGTTGACACCAATTGAAATATTGAATTTTGTTTGCCTTCTATTTCAACAGATTGGAATCAATCCAGGACTGTTTGCTGCTTATAGAGGTCATCACTACGCTGGGCCCGGCAATCATTTTTGGAAGTGTCTCTATCTCTCCGGATTGACGCATGAACAAATGAATGCAGAAGAAGATTATAAGTTGCTCGACTATGGGATTGGGTTCACAAATATGGTGCAACGGGCGACAAAAGGCTCAGCTGACTTGACACGAAAGGAAATCAAAGAAGGCAGCCATTTGTTGCATGAAAAATTACGAAGATATCGCCCAAAAATCGCCGTCTTCAACGGCAAACTCATTTTCGAAGTGTTTTCCGGCAAAAAAGAATTCAACTTTGGACGACAATCAGAATGCGTTGAAGGAACTAATACTGTAAGTTGAACAATAAACACGAAATCTGTATCTCTCCTCTCTGAATCACTTTTCATCTCTAAATGAACAAAAGTTTTTCGTTGAAATTGGTATTTCTTTTTTCGATTTTAAATTCAAACTGACATAAAATTTCTTTTTAGTACATGTGGGTGATGCCATCGTCCAGCGCGAGGTGCGCACAATTACCAAGAGCGGCTGATAAAGTTCCATTTTATGTGGCATTGAAAAAGTTTCGCGACTATTTGAATGGCGTTATACCACATATTGATGAGTCAGAATGTGTCTTTCCTGACCCAAAAAATACCAAACAAATTTACGGTTAGTAAAGAAAGAAAATCCAGATGTGAGATAAATGTAGAACAAATCATTAAAATGATCAAAAATGTTTCCATTGATGTTTTAGATAATGACGGAAATAAAGTGGAAAAATTGAGTCGTTTCACACCAAATCCAAATTCAATGGGGATGCCAATGCCGGAAATGATGCAACAACACCAGCAATCGGATATGACAGATATTAGTATGATTGGTGGTAAGTGTGAGGGTGATATGATGGGTGCACCGAAGAAGAAACGCGGCCGACCGAAGAAGGTTCGCGGTGAAGGTGAAGAGAATGTTAAGATAAGTGTACCGCGACGATCACAAAATACATCACAGGAAACGGAACTGTTGAGCGATGGAACGCCAAAGAAGAAGCGTGGACGACCGAAGAAGGTGAAAATTGATGGTATGGACGGTTCAATTGTGTCAACGAAATTACCCGCAAATAGTGCCAACATTGAGAGTATTATAAATGAAACTGCACTCGATTCGGATCGTACCATGTATTCGCCAGCACTGAATCAATCACAGTCACAGCAAGGTCAACCATCAAAATCGCAAAAGCAATCACAACAAAGTCAACAACCAATGAATATGTTCTCGCCAATGTCGGGCAACACCGCATTAAATATGAATGGCACTATGCAGTGTACAATGAATGGCAATTTCAATAGCATGCAGCAGACATCATTTCAATCGCATGAACATCCACAACAAACAAATGCTTCCGATTCGCCGCAGCAGTTTTCCCATTCGAATCTGTCTTCAGAGATATCGGCCGCAATTTCTACTGCCGAGCATTTGAATGCGACGGCTGGCAATGGAGACACCAATTCACCGTCGTCCAATTCACAAAGCGTAGCGCCAGCTGATTTTGACACACCAGACTGCGTACACAATGACAATTGGAATGATCACAACACATTTAACGTCGCTCAACAGGTAAGAATCGATAATTATTGCTTTTTTATTGGTCATTCAATTAATTACGGGTCAATTAGTGGCCATTATGATGCAATTGCAATTCAATGTTTTTTTTAATTATATGTGTGTGTGTCTGTTTAGCAATCGCAATCGCAACAACATCATTGGCAACCGAAACCACAGGCTTCTATCGGTGTGAATGCTCAAAACTCACAATACTTGTCGGTGGACACACAGAAAGCGGCTTCCGTGAACGTTGATGCTCAAAAATCCCCATATGTCGGCGTCGACTCGTCGCAACAACAGCAGCAACAGCAACAACAACATTTGAGCCAAATACACTTGCAGCATCAACAGCAACTCCATTTACAACAACAACAACAGCAGGTAAGCCCCGTCGTCGATTCTTCTTTCTTTTTTCCTTTTTTTCTTCATTTGTCGCTTGTTATATTGTTGTGAAAGCGCTCAACACACAATTACGTCGTGAGAACTTGTGTAACTTGACTGTTTTATTTTTAGCAACAGCATATCCAAAGCCAGCACAATCCGTTCCAATCGCATCACATACAACAACAATCGCATTCGGACGAAATGAGTGCGTACATCGGTAAACAGGCGCACAGCATGAGCGATGTGACGGCCAAGAGCCTATCCGGTCTTGAATCACTAGTCGATCAAATACCTAGCTTAAGTGACAACCATGACTCAAGCGGACAGCAATCGTCTGGACATAGTTTACGCTCAAGCGAAAGCCGTCTCGATATACCATCTATGGTTGGTAGCGGTGGAGGTGGTGGTGGCGGTGGTGGTATCGATCATCTGCAGTCGTCACCATTTCAAAACAGTTGTTTGTATTCGTCGAATTATCTATCGTCAGCGTCGTCGCCGAGCCTAGGTAGCCCAATGTTAGCAAATTCAAGCGATCTACGATGCAATAGCAATCGAAGTCGCAGCAGTGATATAAATGGTGCATCAACGCCAACAGCAAATCTCATGTCGCACTATTCAAGCTCAAGTTACCCAGCATCGGCGCTACCACCGGCGCCGACGTCCGGTCTCCATTCGCCAAATAGTCCACAAACTCAAACGCCACCGATGAATCTCAACAATTTGAACAATCATCCATTTTCCGTGAGCAATTTGACCGGCAATCATAACTATTCACTGACACCACCGCCATCAACACCATCCGCATCGATGCCAATGAACTCCATCAACTCGATGAATTCATACCATTCGAATTTTATGGCGGCTGCAATGCAGCAACCGCTGTATATTCATGATTTCTATGAAAAAACGCATCCACCCATTCCGCCAGAATTTTTCCAAAAGACAACACGACAGGCCACCACCAATGTTGATCCGCATCTTCCACCATTTTATGCATCACATGCGGCAGCGGCATACGGACAGCATGCCGGTTTTCCATCGGCTGGCTATGGCTTCCCAACGACAAATGATTTTTTCGAAAAAACCACCAATCTACAGCATGTCCAACCACAATCACAGGCATTCGCCGCTTCCAGTCCACCAACAATCCATATGCCCAGCCCAAATTATCCATACGGCTACGGTGAACATCATCGTCGTCAGAACTACATTGCATCCGATTTATTCTTTTCGAATCATCATGGCATGTTTGATCCGCGGTAGGGACGAGCTTGGGGTCACCTATCTTCATTCTTCTAGTTTTCCATCGCAAAATGAACACTTTCTGACGACTGACGGAACCTTTTTACGAATAAACAACACACATCATCTCTATCCATACATGGCATGCACGCAATTCGTCAATCATGCACGTTGAATCGATTTGTAAATGCATTTCATCGAATTCGCTCATGATACGCCCACTGAGTTCTGAATCTCAACATGAATCCCACATTTACCGATTTTGTTTTTATTATTTAAATCTTGTCGTGCAACATACTTTTACCCCTCATAACTAATGACAAATCCTAAACTCGATAGACAATTTTATTTTGATGTCAATTAAAAGGGAATATGATTGAATAAATGTGCAGTCCAGCACACTTGGTGCTGACTGACTTAGCACGCCAAAAGCCTAATGGTGGCATTTGCTCGTAGAATAATGGTGCTTTTTCTCAAAAAAAAAAAAAAAAACTGTAAGCTAAACAAACAAAAATTCGATATAAACAATTGCATTGAGAAAAGATGGAAATTTTTCGAAATTCCAATGAAAAAGAGAGAGTAGAAAAAATGAAGAAGAAATATAAAACACAAGTGAAAGAGAAAGAAAATTTGTGAATGTGTGTCTAAGAAAATAATTGTTTATTTAATCCACGTAATTGTATTGTTGTCACATTAACTTGTTCTAAACGTGCGCAAAAAATATTCAACATCCAGAACGTTAAATAGAAAGCAAAACGACAAGAAAAAAGAATAACACAAACACACACACACACACACCTAGAAATTATTGAATATTCAAAATGAAAAGTTAGGAATTAAATAATTTATAAGAATTTTTTTTATGTTCTTCGTTTCTACAATAACAACATCAGCATCAAAGAACAACAAAAATGGAATTTGAAGAAAACAAGTAAAATAAAATATGTAGGAAATTTTTACCAGCTTACCAGCAACAAAGAAAAAAAAAACGTTAATAGAGATAAAACAGATAAAGAAAGAAAAAGAAAACGGAATATGACACTTTCTCAAAGAATTTACATGAACATGACATTTTTCTTCGGTTTTATCGCTCGTTTTAATTTTTAGACTTTTTTAAAAAAGAAGATTTTTCGACATTTTTTATATATAATATATATATTGTTAATTTTTTCTCGAAAGCAAAGAAAAGTCAAGGATTGAGAAGGATATGGGAAAAGCCCAAGCAAACGATAACGCATTGCACGGAGTGAATCAGAATTATTCGGCTTTCTTTTTGCACATGCAATTTAGCATAAAGTTTTTTTTTAAAATCAAATAATCGCCATAAAACTTCGAAACGTTTGGTTTACGACATGGTATTCAAATACTTTTCACTTAATTTTTTTTTCTTTCGGTTTTTGAATTATATTTTATGAGCGCGCAGAGAAGAAAAAAAAAACAGAGAAGCATGTACTTATTTTACTTTAGTTTTGCGGATTGGTATGAAAATGAAGCCAAACTAATAAGTTTATCTCAATGCATGCGCATGCGGAATATTTAGTAGCTATATTAAATGAGAATAAATAAAAATTATATATATATATTTTTGTAAACATATCGACAACACACCGTAACTGAAACAACAAAATAGTATGAAGAAGAAGAAGAAGAAAGAGTATGTCTGAACTTGCAACATAAGTTTTGTCATAAATGAATTTATGCTGATTTAGTCATCGCCGCGACGAATTTCGGTGCAGAAACCGGAGCAAACACGTGTAACAAGTTGTAAGCTCACAGATAAATGAAGGTCATCGTCGTCGTCGTCGTTTTTTTGTATCTTTTTTTTTTCTTCAGTGACAACGAACACGAGATGAAGTTTATAGAATGGTGCTAATTCGTTGCACGACCTTGTTACCTAACGATTAAATGGGCCATGTATTGGTGTGGTCTAGCCAGTCTTTAGAAATTTAAGTCAATTCGCTCCCCCCCCCCCCTCCAATTTTGTCGAGAACCGTGTTTATTTTTTTTTGTTCGCTTTATTTTCCTTGCAAATGCAAACAATCGGCAGGTCAAAGTTTTCATCGTCATTTGCTTTAGTATTGTTTTATTGTTTTTCAACGTGATCGATTCTTCTGTTGTTCTCGCAATGTTGCAATCTCAGAAATGCACAGAATATTTTGCATAAATGTTACGAGCTCATTTTTTTTTTTAAGAATAAAATTTAAAAAAAAGGAAAAGAAATTGTCGTATTTTTTATAGAATAAAATAATTTGCACTTGAAATAATCGCAACTTCCCGTTGAATAAATCGAGACAAGAAAAAAAAACAGCAATTTATGTTAGATGTATAATTTGTAGCGTGCGACGATACGATATTCATTTTCGTTTTTTTTTTTTTAAGAAAATTCAATCGAATCATTTTTGTACATGATTGTAGTTGATAGTTTATTGTGATTTTTTATTTTTTGTTTTAGTTTCGTCAAATCTTAGTTTTTTTGTCATGTTTCAATATATTTTTGTCTTTGTATTTATCATTTTTTTTTTTTTTTGGAACACAAGTCGTCGTTTTCGATTCCAATGTTATTAACAATTTTACGAATTTACCACTTTGTTGCCCACATACCGAACTAAACGAACGTATACCATGCAATAAGAGAGATGAAGTGAGAACGGAAATGAGTTCAGTTAATGTTTTGTTTTGTTTAGTTGTCAATTCATCAGCAACTCACTCAGCCAATATTTGGGTAAAATTACCAGTTAACAGTTTTAAATATGTAATAGATCATTTTTTTGTGTTTTGCTCTAGAATTTCTTAATTTTGTTTAGAATAAATAATAAATTACGGTGACGCTCCTTCTGCACAGAATGAGGAGAAAGTAATGGGTTTGTGTTTTTTTTTTTTAATTTTTCGTCTTGATTCTGATACATATTGATAGATAATGGAGAAATGAGTTGATTGGATGACGGAGAAAATGATGCGAAAATCGTATGAAAGGAAGAAGAAACGCACACGAAGTTGGAAAGTATGGGTGAATGATGGATTTTTGCCAGATTTTTACACGGTGCGCATGTCAATATGGTTTTCCATTCAACTTCTCTTTACCTTTTCGTTAGCGAAATTACTTAAGAAAATGCATGCGTTCAACGAAATAAGAATGCGTATGAATCGAGAGAGAAAAGGAGAGAAATCAAGATAAATAAAATGAACAAGTCGAGAAAAAAAAACACATGCACACACACTTTCACACACATACTAAGAACTCACAGGGTAAACTTTATTAGTAATTAAACATTTAAATAAAACAATAAAGTGTAGAAAAGAAGAAAAAAAGAAGAGAGAAAAAAATCACTTGCATTGAAACAATTCACCAGCAAATGGAAATGAGAGTGATGGAACAGCTCTTAATTAGTGAATAATATTGAAATTTTAAGTGGAATCCATTGGATATAGACGATTAACGTTTTATGTAATAATTATTATTATGGTTATTAATCTGCAGTGGTAAATAAACCAAACGTTTAGTAAAAGAAACAATTCAGTCGGTGTGTGATAAGTTTTGTGCGCATTTTTGAATTTAAATAAAAAGAAAAGTAGCAACAACAACAACAACAACAACCAATTATGCAAATGAAACGATTGGAAAAAAAACTTAAAATACCTTAAGAAATATGCATGTAGATTTAATGGGACATAACACACACACAAATAATGTCAAACATACGGCAAGTCAAAGAAGTGTCATCAACGTTATTGCGCCAAAATGTGAAGCTAAAGTGTTTTGGAATTGAAACAGCTAGAACGATTCCAAATGTGCTGAGGAATTTTGCACACATCCATGTACATATATAAAACCGACCGACAAAACAGAAAATACTTCGTGCGGCAAATGAGAGAGACAGGAACTTAGCTTACCACTATTTGAATTAACACACCAGAAGAGGAAAGAAAACAACAATAACTAATGGAATAATTTTCAATGTTAAATTGTACGAATTAAATGAAATCATACGTAATTACTAGCAAAGAATAAATTGAAATTGAAATCTACGCAATTTTTAACATTTTACTCTTAATCTATTCAGAAAAAAAAAACAAGAATTTTCGGAATTTTCAGTGAATATGCAAATTAAAAGAAAAAAACATGTAGGAATGTCATTGCCAGTGAATATTTTGCACTCGATGTTCTGATGAATGAAAACAGAAAGAAAAATGAAATTGGAAATGGAAAATATCGATGGGTTTTCAAGCGATTTAAAATGTGTCGATCGTTTCGATGAACATGCTCACGCACGGCTATACATACATTTGATCCAATTCCAAACTCATCAAAATTGCATCAACATTCGATTGAAAACAGTGCGATCAATTTCTAACGGAAGCGCGAAATGGAATCACACATTTTCCAATCATTTGCATTCTCTCGAATGTTTAACGAAATGAAAGCAAGAAGAAGAAGAAGAAAGAAGGAACAGAAAATACCACAACTTAAACATATTCAGTACGTGCAATATTTTTCTTTCTCTTTTTTTATAGATAAAATATTATACATTTATATTAAAGGAAATTGAGGGATTGGCGAACAACTTATACACGAAATCATGTTGTATATGTAGGATGATAACACAAACGACTACAACTTAATTTTAAGGAATGAAACCAATTTAAAAATAATTCAAGTGACAAGCGAAATACAATTAAAATCTGCAAATTGAATGAGAACAAGAGATAAAAAGAGAATAAAAGAAAAATTCAACAAAAAGAAATAAAGGATTTTGTCGAAATAAAACGAAACGTTTTGCTCTTTTCTTTTTTTGCTATGCAGACTTGGGTAAAGTACAATCGATGGAGACACATTTCATTCTAATTTTTATCTAATTATCTATCAAAAACGAACTTCAAGCGATATCGCATCGTTGCGATATAAGGGACGCCGACAACTTAGTGTCAAAGTGAGTATTTCATTGTGGCATTTCTATGGTGAATACAATTTTCTTTGGTTGGACAACCGAAATTTGGCCATTGGAATTTTTGTCGTCAAAATTGATGAAATAATCTATATCTTGACGAAATGATGATCAATTTTGACGTTTTATACCACAAATAATATTAATGTACTTCTCAAGATAGTTCCAACAAAGTTTTTTTCTTTTTTGTAGAACCAAGTTCTATCCAAAATCTATGAGAATAGATTATTAATATGTTAGCGCGATTTTTGTATCCCAATTTTCAACAAATCGAACCATACTTATTTTATTCATTTGTGATTGAAAAACATTCTCTAATCTTACTTTTTAGCTCCATATGCTTCAAATGTACAATGTATGAAATGGTCTGTTCTAAAAGTCAAATGTTCTTCTTCAGAATTGGAAAATATTAGTTTAAACAGGCTTTCGACCATTTCTTGAGCAATTTTTCAAATATTGCGTAAATTCGAAAGTTTCCGCCGCTGACATTTAAATGTCGCCACTTGTAACTGAGCGTAGCTTGACAAGTGAATCCAATTGCATTTTGTAGATGTGACATTTAGCAATCTAACTCAGAGCAGAAAGATTCATTTTTTGTTCTGCGTCATTGTTTTTGAATCGATTGAAAATGGATCGTGATAAGGTGTTTTTTCGAGGGGCCCTTCTTTTCTTATTTGATTCGAAGAAAACTGCTGCTGAAGCTCATCGAATGCTGTCAGATACTTATGGCGAGCAAGCTGCATCGGAACGAAGCTGCAGAGAATGGTTTCATCGATTCAAAAGTGGTGATTCAAGTCAATGAAAGACAAAGAACGTTCAGATCGGCCAGAAGCGATTGAAGATGTCGATTTGCAAGCATTATTGGATGAAGACCCAACCCAAACGCAAAAAGAACTTACATTGCAGTTAAGCGTCGGCCAAACAACCATTTTCAGACATTTGCACGCCATGGGAAAGATTCGGAAGCTGGGGAAATGGGTTCCACATCAACTGTCTGAAGAGCAACTTCAAGCACGAATCGCAATATGCACAAAACATCTTGCAGAGCACAAAAGAAACAGTTTTTTGTATCGGATTGTTACCGGCGATGAAAAGTGGGTTCATTACGAAAACCCCAAGCGTAAAGTAGCGTATGTTGATCCCGGCCAACCGGCGCCATCCCAGCCAAAACGAGATATTCATTGCGATAAGGTTATGCTGTGCATCTGGTGGGATATGAAAGGAGTCGTGTATTATGAGCTGCTAAAACCAGATCAAACGATTAATAAGGAACGCTATCGACGCTAATTGAATGATTTGGCTCATGCATTGGATGAAAAACGGCCATTAATAGCTCGAAAACACCACAATGTTTTGTTCCACGATGAAAACCCTAAGCCACATCGTGTAACAATCGTTAAAAATGAGGTAGAGCAGCTCGGTTGGGATCGGCTTGATCAGCCCGCGTACTCTCCAGACCTTGCTCCTTGCGACTACTATCTATTTCGATCGATGCAGATTGCCCTGTCTGAAGTACGCTTTCAAAATGAGGAAGAAGCGCGAAAATGGGTTGATGACTACATAACCTCAAAAGACGAGGACTTCTTCAAGCGAGGAATCAACAAGCTGCCTGAAAGATGGCGGGAAGTCATAGCTAACGATGGCGAATACATTGGTTAATGTACATTTTCAATTTATTTTGCAATAAATGTATTTTTAGACAAAAAAAAACGGCGGAAACTTTCGAATTGACCCAACAAAAAAAATCGGCAGCAAGAAATTCAACACATTTTATTTCGATTTCACATACAAAATGGTCAATTTTCGACTTCAAGTAAAAAACTGAACAAAATTTCAGCGCCTGAGTGGGCACTTATTGGGCTAAATAAAATCGTCATTTTTTAATGTTTTGAGATTGTCAAAATGTTCAACAATTCCACTTCAATGGCAAATTCCTTCGAATTTAACACTAATAAAGTTTATGATATGCAAAACAAAGTTGACAAATTAAATTCCGTTCAAATTGTCAATCAAATATCTATGGGTGAGAGTAAGAGGTGAGTATGTTTTACTTCTTTTTATATTTGAAATGAATCGAAATATTTATATTGCAAACAGCGTAGAGTATGATGATCTTTCCAGTACAAAGTGAGTTAAACATACACTACTCTCAATCTTAACCATAGAAATCTAGCGTACATTGTAGACATACAGAGAGTATATACTATATTGGTATATTGTATTAGAAAAAACCATGTTAATTGAATGTGATTGGCCCGCTTCCGCTTGAAAAG